GAAATCCTTGAGCGGCGACAACTAATGGCGCTTTGTGGTGCCTTGGAATGTGCATTTCGCTCTTGCCTTCGCCAGTTGAGTTGTAGTAAGTGGCACAGACCCAGAACAGAGCCCCCGCTCCCAGAGGCACCACCGCCCCACTTCCTTGCTGCCCCTTTCCCTTACCCATTCCCACTGCCATTCCCTTCCTGCATGCTCCCATTACGAGCTGTACACATAATTACTCCGCTTGCGCATTCTGACGAGGCTGATGACAGTTGCCTCGTCTAACTGGGACACCACTTCCTTCCAGCAGGAGAGGTTCCCTTTCTGGTTTGTGCCCAGCTTTTGTTGTGTTCATGGACTAATTTTGTTTGGCTTTGCTGGTTGGTAGCACGGTGAGAAAAATACCATAAATGTTTCTAATAGTATTTTGTATAAGCTAAGTTAACAATAAACAGTATTTCAATGTTAGCCTGGCTCTGATCTACTTGGGGATTTGTTTTATTGTAATGGTTTCATTGTTCTACTTATGATAGAAGTTATTGTAACTGGCCATGAAATCATTCTGATTAACTAACTTATTAAATTCGCAGTTTATAGTTGAACACTCTTATTAATAGCTATTTTATTGTACATATTGTTATGATGATTTTTTCTTGTGCATAAGTGAGCCCAGCCGAGTTATGTTCCCTTGCAGGCCCATCAATTATGCCAAATGGAGCATATGCACATCCACTGTTGGCTCAATTTTTCAATTAACTTGGATAGTTCCAGTTGGCCTCACCTTTGGCCATTTTTCGAGCCTGGACCTGGACAAAAGGTTATTGCCTCTGCGATTTCTGCTGATCAATTCGGCCAGACATGCAATCTCCTGTCCCGCTGTTGCTGCAAAAACGGAAAAGTCGGAATTAACACGAAATAAATCCCGATCTCCCCCTCGCTCTGAAATTGCAAATTATGTGCCCAGTTATCATCGTTGGAGTCGGTTGTTTGGCTTTGATTTCCCTGGCACGCAAATGGCATAAAACAGCAGCACCCCGGACTCACAGGACTCAGCAGAATTCCCAGGACACGGAGGACTTTCCAACTGAAACTTGTTTAATTTCTGTTTTGCGGGAAAAGCGCACGGCAAAGGGAAATGTGGAAGTGGGGGAAACTTTGATGCAGGTCCTGGACACGCTATCGTCCTCGTCCTTGTTGCTATTCATATTCCATCCATGCGGTTTCTCCGCTTTGCTCGTCGCTTATTTTCCCTATTTCTTTTTTTTCTTTGAGCTCAGTTAGTAAATTGAGCATCAACGTGAGCTCCGGCTGACTTACCTGTCCCTGGAGTTCCTTTTGGGTTCACTTGGGGTCACCGATGCAGGTGATGGATGGTCGGATGGCTGGGTATTTGGACTGCTGATTTAAAGTTCCTGTTGCAGAAGGAAAACCCTATCCACTTTTGCTGATATGCTAATTAAATGGATTTATTCTTTTGTTGTTTAATGGTTAGAAAGGGAATATTTTGACCAGACCTACAAGAAATTGAAAAGGACAAGAACAGCTTAAATTTAATGGAGACTTACACAATTGAGTCATTAAAGATTTTGAATTAGAATTAAACCAGCAACTGGTAGGCTTTTAACACAATCAGCATTAAAATGGCCTGGCAGTTTTGTTGCTTGAACATTGTTATTTGTGTAAGATCTGATCGACTTGTTTTCTCTTTTCCATTTAATTAACGATATTGCAAGCCGCCCAGAGCTTATCTAACAGCATACAAATGTTTTGCATTCAGAGCTCTCCTACACGAACTGCTGTCGATAAATGCTGACCTCATTTTTTAAAATACATTCGTATTTAAATAAAATTTATACACGTATATATAAGTATGATTTTTGCTCTGCCGCCGCTGTATCACATCATTCAGTTCGACCCATTTCACATTTGAGGCCAAACTTAAGCCTGAGTTCAATCGCAAATTGCAGTCTGCCGGTAATGAGGTTCCAAACCGAGTTTAATGACTTCAACTTAAAGTTCTTCGTCAATTTGCCTTCAAAAGTGTCGTCAGCAGGAGTTCCAATTAGAAAAGTTTTCCCAGCTGGCTGCTTATTTAAATGGGAACATGTAAATGCCAGTAAAAATATAAACAATTGACAAAACAAATATGTAAAACAAGTAAGCAATCTGCATGAATTGAGATGCTGGCTGACCACAACAAAAGCTGTCAACAATTGGGGTTGCAATTGGGTAAATCCCCGATGAACAAGGAGGTGTTTGGGACTCTTGCAATGGAATTTAATATTCTGTCGGCACGGTAAAAAAAGAGAATTCTTAGTGCAGAGATATCTGAGTGACACGAATAGGGCTGCAGCCCCTAGCCTCCATAACCCCCTTTATGTACACTGGGAAAAAAACATCGTTTCTTTCTTAAATTTTATATTTCAAGCTCGTCGATAAGTAATTAAGTCATTTTCCAGTCAAGAAAGTTCTAGTTAGAGAAGTTCATCAGCATTTTATCTTTATTGTTATATTGTTACATCTAACATTAACAAATTTAAGCCCATTTCAACTTCTGGAGTCCATAACATTACCAAATTTCATCCGATTCCAAAGTGGCATACCTCGTACGACTCGTGTTTTGATTCTAAAAAAATCTGCAATCAAATTTGTCCCTTTTAAGTTTTCGCTGACTTGAAAAAAGGGGTCCCCTAATTGGACTTCCAGATTCCATAACTTTATTAAGTTTAATCCGCTTCCAAAGTGGCATACCTCTTACGACTCGTGTTGTGATTTTCTAAAAATCTGCATTCAAAATTTTTCATTTAACGTTGATCAACATTTGGACCCATTTTCATGTTAGTTATTTCTAAGTTTTCGCTGACTTGAAAAAAGGGGTCCCATAATTGGACTTCCAGATGCCACAACTCTACCAAAATTTATCCGATTCCAATGTGGTATACCTCTTACGACTCGTGTTGTGATTCTCAAAAAATCTGCATTCAAAATTTTTCATTTAACGTTGATCAAAATTTGGACCCATTTTCATGTTGGTTATTCAAAATTTTTCGATGACTTAAAAAAAAGGGTCTAATTTTTGTAAAAGCTGCAAGTCAATATAAACTGCCTTCATTAAGTCATATTTTTAAAGCTAAAAAAATTTATAATTCAGGCCGTTTTCGTTTACTATTTTATTTCGTGTGTGTATAATCGGTGGGTGGCCACTTGGCAGACGCTCATGCGAGGAGCAGCAGGATGTCAACGCTCTGGGCGAGTAGTGGTACAAAACTGCAGCAGCCGCTGGCAATGCGGAATTCCCATCCTCATCCTCCGAACTCCTTCTCCTGTCCACTAAACTTATTCAGCCAGGTCTTGTTGCATACTTTTGAGCGCAAATGTTTGCAGAGCATTCGCTTCGTGCCCCAAGAATTTGTGAGTGTGCGACTGTGAGTGCGGGTGTGTGGGTGTGTGAGTGTGTGCGCATATTTATATATGTCCTCACGGCTGTTGTTGCTCTATTTTCGTGTGGCCAAGTGGTGGAGGAAAACCAGAGGAACGCTGGGGAACGTCATATGACTCATCATCTCAATCTCCAAACATTCGGCCTTCCATCTCGACACTGAGAAAAATATATTGTAAATGCGACTTGCAAATTAGAAGTTATAATTGTTTGTTAACTTACTGGGATAGTGTCTGACAAATAATGTGTTTTTGAATTTTAGTTATAGTTTTAATAACAGGCGAACCGATGAGAGTTGTTCTTCAACTACTTCTTGGCAACCAAGAATGATATCAAATCAGATAGCACCACTCTTCGTAAATCTTAAGTGCACAAAGTTCTTCTCCCAGTGCATTCCCATTCCCACCGTCAACTTCATCATCTCAGCTCCAGTTCCATTCACAGTTTGCAGTTTGTAAATTGAATTTCAGTTCGGGCGACCCCGCTCACTGCCTTTTGCCCGCCTTGTAATAACACTATCATTTAGTTGACAGAGGGCAGCAGGAAACAGGAAGCGGCATTTAAATGAGAATGCTTGTTTAAATTGGCCAGCTCTGGATGATGAAAGGACGTGGCATCACATATGATGGCATTGTGTGACAGAAATGGAAACCAGAGCCGCACAGAAAAGTTCCCTGATTATTCGTACGATTCGAATGATGACTCAGAGATGTCTACTTGCTTTTTTCCAAGGACATTTTTTTTTTGCTCCCACTCGTGAAAGATGGAAAATCAATTGCGAAAACTTGGGAATGAGAAGCGTGATGCGACAGCAACTTCTGAAGTTGTCGACACCCTTCTGGCGTGGAATTATGCTTCAAGGATATGACGAGGATGCTCCACCGGAAGAAAGGGGAGCTGCGGGGCATACTTGTCGATTAATTGGACTGGCAAAGCGGTTTATGCGAGAGCAAAAACTTTTAGCGCGTAGGCGGATTATTAAATTCGCTTTGTTTCAGTAACTAGCTGCGGGATGGGCGGCGGGGAATTCCCGGCTGTCTCCCCGGATTGCTCACTTCCTCTTCCGGCGATTGCCGCCAGCAGGGATGCACCAACACCAACACCAGACAATGCTATCACACTTGGAAAAACTCTAGACACAGAAATGCGTGCTGCTTATGATTAGTAGACCCCTGATAGACTGATTATAATGCAGACATGAAATGACATTGGCATTGGTTACCCACTTCGGAGTGAGTTCCATTTTAGAATGCATAATCTTTTATTAATTCCTCTGATACAATCTGAAACCAAGGCTCTTAGCTACCTTTTGATATTTAAAATCCCCAGTGCATCGATACGAGTTAGTCGAAGCCAGACGCCGAACACAATGGGACGTGTAAAAGGGTGCAGAATGCAGAGAATAGCATAGAATGGATTCCCCATTCAGGCAGAGGATCCCACTGCGGTGGCTGTTAAGGGCACTGTGCACTCAGCATTCCTACTCCCAATCCCCCACCACTGACCCACTTGCTGCAGAACTATTACTATTTACGATTATCCATACTATAATGCATATGCTTTAATTAAATTGCAGGCAAATCGGCATAACAGAGTATCAGGAATGGAGCTGGAGCCGCGTGTGGCCATCCTGCAGGACCTGCGCCTGCAGACCTTCGACTCCATTCGATTCGCCTCCTACCGCACGGCCTCCAAGCTGCGCTACATACAGAAGTCCACGAACCTCCATCTGGTGGACATTTGGAATGTGATCGAGGCGTTCCGCGAGAACGGGCTCAACACCCTGGAGCCGCAGAGCGAGGTGAGCGTGGCCAGGCTGGAAACCCTGGTCTCCTCGCTGTACCACAACCTCAACAAGCGCCTACCCACCGCCCAGCAGGTGCCCGTGGACTCGAAGGCGGGTCTGCTGCTCAACTGGCTCCTGGCCGCGTACACAAGGTGAGTGCACCGAATTCCCCGCAATGTCTAAGTCCCATTTAATGTCTAAACCCCCTTTTCCTTCCGCAGTGATAACTCGGGCAAGATTCGCGTGTTCTCCATCAAGGTGGCCCTGGCCACCATGTGCTCCGGCAAGCTGGTGGACAAGCTCAGATGTGAGTAGCATTCGAGTACCGATGGAATCCGTGAACGCATGACTCAACCCCTTCCCTCCCACAGACATATTCTCGCAGATCTCGGACGGCGCTGGCCAGCTGGTGGCCTGGAAGCTGGGCGAGTTCCTGCGCGAAGTGCTGGCCCTGCCGGCGGCCGTGTACGAGTCGCCCACATTCCACTACAAGGAGGGGCTCGAGGAGGAGATCTTTCCGGCCGAGAACAAGGTGACGGTGAACGACTTTATGGCCACGCTGATGTCCGAGCCGGGGCCGTCCTGTCTCGTCTGGCTGCCGCTGGTGCACCGGCTGGCCACCGTGGAGACCATTGTGCATCCGACTGTCTGCTCTGTTTGCCACAAGGAAAACTTCACCGGGTTTCGTTATCGCTGTCAGCGGTGTCACGCCTACCAGTTGTGTCAGGAGTGCTTCTGGCACGGCAAGACATCGCTGAACCACCAGAACGATCACGAGGTCAAGGAGTACTCGAGCTACAAGTCGCCCAGCAAACAGATCGGCCACTCGCTGCGCAAGAGCTTCCGCTGTGTGCCCGAGAAGACGGTGCAGGTGCTCCCGCGCTTTCCCGACCAGCCGGAGAAGACGCTCAACCTGTCGCACATCGTGCCGCCCTCGCCGCTGCCCTCACACAACGGCTTCTCGGACCCCTCGGGCCTCGTACATGGCCACCATGGCCCGCATCCGCATCCGGGCCTCCCGGGCCAGCACGGCCTCTTCGATCGCTCCAGCACGCTCGACTCGCGGGCCACAGGCCGCAGTCTGGACAGCGCCAGCGGCACCGCCGGCACCACCATGTCCCGCGTGGCCGCCGCCTCCGCCAACGACGAGGAGCACCGCCTGATCGCCCGCTACGCCGCCCGACTGGCCCAGGAGAACAGAGCGGTGAGGGGGCCAAACGATTGTCCAATTTGTACTCGCTAATCTAATCTAATTCGTGTATCCTTGGTAGCCCTCCAACTTGCCCGACAGTGCTACCCCCATCGGCACGGACAACTCGCGGGCCCAGCGCGAGCTGATTGCCCAACTGGAGTCCAAGAACAAGGAGATAATGCGGGAGATAGCGCGACTGAGGCGTCAGCAGGAGACGGAGCAGATGGCCCCGGAGAACCCGGCGCTGATCAACGAGCTGCGGGCCTTGAGGCAGCGGAAGGGGGAACTGGAGGGTCACCTGGGTGCCCTGCAGGACTCGCGGCGGCAGCTTATGGAACAGCTGGAGGGGCTGATGCGCATGCTGAAGAACCAGCAGACCGCCTCGCCGCGCTCCACGCCCAACTCGAGTCCTCGCTCCGGCAAGTCCCCACCCATGCCCGGAGGAGCTGGTATCCTGGGCACCTCGCCCATGAGTGCCCTGCACGCCCAGCAGATGCAGCAGCATCCCATGGCCGGGGGAGGAGTCAGGGCCACCCAGCAGCAACTCCTCCAACAGCAACAGCAGCAGCAGGCTCACGGACATGGTCCATTCAGCCAGAGCCAACTGGAGCAGCTCAACCAGATCAGCAGCGACATGCGCAGCGCCTTCGCCGCCAACGGAAGTGCAAGTGAGTAGGGATTAGAGGGGGCGGGATGACCCATGGGATACTTTGCGGATAGGCTCGGTTATGTCCAAATTTTGAGATCCCTTGTGCAATTGGCTAACGCGAGAGAATAGGCCTAAGTTCAGACAGATATTAATCGTATACTCCGCTCAACAATGCGGTTACACCGCCAAACACACACCCGAAAACTGAAATCACCTGACCAACCACCAAATCACACGCTGTCACACCCAAAACACACTCGTTTCTTGATCGCTTCGCCTTCGCAGCGCCACCGCCAATGCGCACCACCACTGCCACTGCCAATGTCAGTGCCATTCCCAGCCTCAATCCGATTCAGAATCCGAGTCAGAATCAGAATCAGAATCCGAATCCCGACGCGGAGCTCAATGAGGCCGCCGACCATCTAACGTCGGCCATTTCCCACATGGTCAGCGACCTGAACGCAGGTAAATCGTTGGATTCCATCCCATCCTTCCAATCGCTTTCGCTTCCGAATCTGCAACCGCAACTGCATCTGCTGCGCCTGCGCCTGCTCCTGCTTCCCAAAAAGATGCTCGTGAATGGTGGTCTGCACTGCACCAGCACGTAGTTTTCGTAGTAGCACCGCTTCTAGAGCCACCCGCCACACACAATCCCTGCTCCAAAATGGAATGTTTCACTCTGTGCTTATCCGTGTTCTTTTTCGGTGTGCGTATTGTCTTGGGTCTCGCCGTTTTCCAGGACGGGGAAGGGCGTATCAGGGGCCCCAGCAGACGAGCTCGCTGCCGCAGGCTCGCTTCATCATGCCACTGGGTAAGTTGTCCCGGGCCGCAGCGATCCGACCCTCCTCCTCCTGCTGGTTCCCACTTCTCTAAGCGACCTCTTTTCCGTTTTCGTTTTCTTCGTTTTTCTCGAACCGTTTGATTTTAGATTATTTCCCCAATAGACGGCAAAAGAAAAAATGCTGCAAATATTGAGCTCCTCCCCGTTTGGTTAGTTGCCCCTTATAATTTTCGCTAATTTCTTCTGTATGTCCAATCGGGGGACCCTGTCCATCCAATAAACTACCAAAAAAATGAAACACCCCAAACACCGATTAAGAATTCCGGCACATCGAGGGCGGCGAGTCCGAGGGCTCGAGTCAGTGCGAGTGCAACGATTGCGAGTGCGGGGAGTTCGAGGAGGTGTTCCGCACCGACGAGGACCTCGAGTGCGAGGGAGCTGCAGCTCCCTACGGGGATCCCTTCACCCCGTACTCCACTAGCGCTCCCGACGAGGACCTCTTCGACTACACTTTCGGGCAGGGCGAGGAACAGTCGCAGGTGAACCGCATCCTGGGCTACCGGAACCACCCGGAACTGTTCATCGACGATGACCAGGCCGGTTTCCCGGCGCTGCACGAGATCGGTGAGACAATCGATGAACTGCAGCTGATCATGCACGCTTATATCATGAAGTATAGTCTGAATATATAAAGTGTTCGACGTAGGTTACCAGTTACCAGTTACCAATATATACTCTCCGATCAGGTAAAATATGCCAAATCTACTGCCTCTAGACCATTCTAGCTCGCTCGATTCATGACTCCACTCCACCGCAGGTAGACCTCTAGTCGGGCCTATATCTTCTCGAATAGTTATTTCAATAGTACTCCTATATAGCTCATCAACATCGCTGCACTCTAAATCGCCTCTCTATCTCAAACTCAATCTCAATCTCAGTCAGTCCATCCTAGTTAGACTCTAGATTCACGTTGGCTGCTTGACTCAAAGGATTCGAATAAATTGTCTGACTTTGACTTCTGCCTTTAATGTTACTACAAATGTTTACCGCAACCTTGATCAATTTCAGATTTCGACGAATCTCAATCGTATAACCAAGAGTGGAACGAAAAGGTAAAGGATTTCGCCACGAAATCCTGCTCACTGTTGATCTAGATGTTGTTTTGCCGTTGTCTATCCTTATTTATATTCTTCCTCTGTACATGCACTCGTAAACCAAAATAAACAATCTATAAATCTATATCCTGTAGCTAGTGTAGTGGTTGCCACTTTTCGATTGCCCTTGCATGCCAGTGACTTTAACTTGAGTACGATTAAATCGAAATACTCGCCTAATAAGTTGATTAAAACTATACTTGTATCTGATTCCACAGGCAAATGCGAATAGCCAATGGCAGGAGCAGTTTGCACAATGGAGTCTTAATTCGCAGAAGAACTAAGACTTCGCCAGTGGACCAGTGGAAACCGCAAGACTGGGAGCATCCGGAGGCCGCTGAACAGATGAAGACGAACTCTCGCTTAGTTTTTTACCTTACACTTACTCATATGTTGACTTAGAGCAATTTATTTATTGATTATTTTATTGAGACGTAGCCTACACTACCTTAATCATTATAATTTAAACTTTGAGGATTGGTATCTACACAGTAACATGTATGTAAACGTACATAAATATTGATATATATATAAAAGCAAAGTATATAAATATAGCTGGTAAGCAAGACTTGCAGTTGCACTGCTCTTCGAAGTCGCAAAATCGATTGAATCTCGTTTAAACTTTTATGATCGCACTGCTAAAGGCGATGGCGTTTTAATTTTAGGTTTCCGCGATTTCATAATTGGCTTTTAGATTTTGTAAGCGCCCGCTCCAGCGGTTATTTATTACCATGAAACCTAACAAATTGAAAATCAAATCACGTAATGCATAATACAAATACGATATAGACATTTACATATTATGTACTTAATAACTAGCAACTTGTTGAGAACCTAAAATCAAATTCTAAATGCTAAACATTATACACTTTGAGATACGATAAAGTCGACAACTATTTGAGCCACAATAAAACCCCATGTTAAACACTAAATTGAAAAAACTAAACACGATTTATATATTATCCATTTATAATATGCATTCATACACAAAAAGTTATACCATATAATCGTAACGGCATAAAGCACGAGATAGAGAAAATCCGACATTTATAGAACTTATACTAACTACTGAATAATATTACAAAAGAGAAAACTAAATAAAAAGGCATTTTAAACAATCACAAATATGCAGTTTTCATGTTTAATTTTAAAATGAAGTCTAACTGCAATTGGAACTTGAAAGTTTAATGCAGAACGGAAAACTGGGAGATGTATCACCTTGCAAACGGGAGATTAATTTAAGTGCCGCCTCTAAGTACCAGCCTTTTTTTTAATTTCTTAACGTCGAAATAATTAAAATTTTAATTTCAAATGAAATAACGCTTAAAATTAAGTTCGTGCCAGTGGTGCCAACTCTTATTTGGCTTAAGTCACCACTGTACGGTTTGGGTCATTGATATTTGCCAAGCAAAGTTTCCCACCGTGGACCAGTAGTGCCAACTCTTATTTTGTTAGAGTCACCACTGTACGGCTTGGGTCATTGTCAAAGAAAGTTTCCCACCGATAGACCAGCCTGCCTTATTTAGGCACATTTTGAATGCCCATCTCTAGGCAACCCGCGCTCTGGAGTGCGCACTTTTCAAAGCCTGGGTTTCATTCGTACCGCGACATTCGAACAGTGAAGTTGACTCTCTGGCGCGATTCCCCGTCTTGACCGAAAATTCGTGACTGATCGAGAGAGCGAGTTTGAAACCAGCTTAGAGCGAGAAGGCAGGTGTTGAGACTGCAGCCAGCATCCACGTTAGCCGCGCAACAGAAAGAAACGTCGATAGGTTTAATTTCTTTGGCTTTGGAGACGTCGCGTCGCGCTCTCTGTTCTCTTGAGAAAAGATAAAGATAAATAGATATCGCGCGCTTGCAGGGTGTGGTGCTAAAAAGTCAGTTCACAAGATGAGGCGCTTGAGTATCTTGAATTGCGTGTGGAGCACCTTGCTCCTAGTCGTTGTTTTCCACCAGACGAGGGCCCAGCGAACGCCGACCATATCCTACATCACGCAGGAGCAGATCAAGGATATCGGCGGAACCGTGGAGTTCGACTGCTCGGTGCAGTATGCCAAAGAGTACAATGTGCTGTTCCTGAAGACGGACAGCGATCCCGTCTTCCTGTCCACGGGCTCCACGCTGGTCATCAAGGACTCGCGCTTCTCGCTGCGCTACGATCCCAACTCCTCCACCTACAAGCTGCAGATCAAGGACATCCAGGAGACGGACGCGGGCACCTACACCTGCCAGGTCGTCATCTCCGTCGTACACAAGGTCAGCGCCAACGTGCAGCTGTCCGTGCGGCGTCCTCCGGTCATCTCCGACAACTCCACGCAGTCGGTGGTGGCCGGCGAAGGCAGCGAGGTCCAGATGGAGTGCTATGCCAGCGGCTACCCCACCCCCACTATCACCTGGCGGCGCGAGAACAATGCCATTCTGCCCACGGGTGAGTTTCGCAACCTTCTACATGTGTTTGTTTTTAGTTATTCGTAAGTTACATACTTGGGTTACGGTGGGTAAGTCAGCTCTCGCTGGTTGGGGCGCTGTTCTCTGCTCCTCTCTCTTTGCTCCCGCTCTTTGGGCCCGTCGCTCTGTCCGTCCCGCTTTGGCTCAGGCTTTTAACTGAATACTTTTAACTGGGCTCCAGTGTGAGTGACCGTGACTCACTCAGGCGTCACCTCAGTTTTGTTTATTCGGCTTGTTGTGCCACTAAAAGGGGGCTAGCCCTGGCTTTGCCTCCCCCAACCTGTTCGAGGGCTAAGTTTCGCAACACAAGATTGATTTTTAGCTCATTCTTTGGGCCCGTTTTCACCTTCTCTTGACTTGGTTCCCATTGCTACCCTTTGTTTGTTTTTCCCTTTTAACGGGTTTTCAAAAAAAATATCTAACAAATAAGAGAATTTGGAAATTCTGTTAAAGAGTCTTTTTTTATTTTTGTGTGACTTATTATTTTCAACTTATTTTAACTGTGTTTTGCTGCGCAAGCATTAGCTTTCTTACATATTTCCTTTATGAAATTTGAATCTTCTGTCAATTAGGCAACATTTCTTAATCTTCGTTTATTTGTTAATTATAAATATCATATACATTGATAAGTATATATTAATTAACAAAAAACAAAGAAATAAAAATACTTAGCACTCAGTAGATTAAACCATAATCCATAAACACTCGATTGTAAAAGTGCAAATGTTATCATTATTTTGGTTCGCATAAAATAATTTGTCGAAGATTACCAGGAAAATTATCTTTTCTTTCACATTAAAGATGTACACCCCATTTCAAAAATGCTGTCCATTTTCTTGGGAAAATCCAGGTCGGACAAGTGCAAATGTTGTCTACAAATTGTTTTCGTTTCTTTGCACTTACAGAATTTCTTGAAAAGAAGGAAAAGCTAATAAAACAATAAACTAATATAGAATCCAGGTAGATGGTACAATAGAACCTTCTCACAAGGTTAATCCCATACAGGTGCTGCTGTTCTTTGCCGATCCCGATCTTTACCTGAACTCTGACCCTCGATCCGACATAATGGTTTCCCTTAACAAGATTGCAGCGTCATTTGCGTGGCGACCGAAAAGTAATTAGTATAACTAATCCGATAGATGCTTATTTCCTAGAATCGACTCGCGGACACACCCTTTCAGGCCATACTGTAGTTAAGAGCTATCTTAGTTCCAGGGGTTTTGTAAGTGTAAGCTTGCTTGTGCAATCTTTAATGGCCGCGACATTGAGTGCGCCCTATTTGGTCAAAAACTAGGCGTGCCCTACAGCAGGCTATAAAACCCAACCGCAACGAGTTGGATACGCTCCATGGCAGTCCAAAAAAGGCTCAACTTTTTTAGCCATAAATCAGAAGTGCCCATGGGTTTGAGGTCCAGTATTTGCCAGGAGTTTCACACTTTTCCACGCTCTAATTTAAAGCGCTTAGGCAAACCAAACAGTTCGTCCAGTGCTTTGAAATGCGCCAACGAGCCGAGTCAAATGTGGCGGGGGGAAGCAAGGGGTTTCCATAGGTACCATAGTATACCCGGGAAAAGGGGGCGGACGTGCACTGACGAGGACTCCTTGCAGCCTTTGTGCCGCATTTCACGTTTCACGTTTCCATTCCCATTCGAGTTTCTGAGGCATTCGACAACTTCAGCACGCGCAATTGCTTCCGCAACTTGAAAACGTTCCACGGACCGTTTGATGGTCTCCGGGTCTCCGAGTACGGGCGTAAACAACCCGTGCAAAACGCGGCAGAGGGCTGTTCCTTACACATCAGACACGGTCTGGGCTTTTGGGTGGGATAAAAAATGAAAAATACAAAATACAAAAATGAAACAGAGAGGGAGCGAGTAAACAGCAAACATACGCAAACAAAGGGATCCTGAGAGCATGGCAAATGGGCTGCGCCCCCTGAAAAACTCCCAGGCCCACACCCCTGAAAATACCCCTTCCCCCTCCTCTACATAATTCTTATTTTGATAAGCGGCGAAATACAATCGAAGTATACAAAATATATATAAATTACAAGCTAAAAAGGTAACCCAAACAAAGGCAGTTGGTTCCTGGGGCGAGCACAATGTAAGAGATGCAAACAAACAAGCCGCGAGCGGTTCGCCCTTGCCCCTCGATCTAAACAACCCCTGATCCTGATCCTAACCCTACCTTTTGCCGCTCCGCCCAGGGTCCAAGTGAGGAACCCCTAATCAACCGTTTCCGCTCGCTAGCCCACCAGTTTCCAGGGTGTTGAGCCCAGAGTCCATGCCAATTTGTGCGTTGCCATGCAAATCGATTGGTTTGTGTTTTTTTATATTGAACGGCCAAACAAAGTTGGTAGATAGCCATTGAGTAAACACAGACATGTGCAGTGTTTGCACCTGGCACCTGGCACCTGGAGCTATCTGCTTTATATGCTGCCCCTGCAAAATCTGTTGCCATAATAAACCTCACCTTGGCCCATCGAATAAAAAAGCGAGGCAGCAGACCATTTGTGCAAAGAAAGCAAAAATTAAAATTCCACTTTTGCTGAATTTTCAAACGTCGACAGCTGTCGACATTTGGGTTATTGTTGGGCAGCCGGAAGCGAAGCATCTTACAGATCTTATCTGTTCGAGGGATCGAGGATCATGGATCAGGCTAAATTAACTTTAATTGTTCAATTATGTGAGAGTACACGAGTTCTGCTTCGATTCTCGCACAGATCACTTCGGGGAGTCCGTACTCCCTTCATGTCCGCAGTTACTGCCATCACAATCCACAATCCACTCTCCCTCGACTAAACTCTTGATTAACCTTCATGCAAATTGTGTTTGCTGGCAAATTGCGAATTAGACTCAAGTGAGCATGATCAAGTATTCCAATTTCGCCATCAAACGCAAGTGCAAGGGTGCAAATCTTAATGTTAATAATATTTACGCTTAAACATTTCGATGCGCAATTGATGCTCAACTCGAGATTTCAACAGGCCGTGCACGAAATTAGTTCCCCCGGTTGTTGATGCATAATGGAAATGAAATATGTATAATGAAATTCCTCAGTTGCCAAAGGGCAGCAGCTGCAGGGTCTGAGTTTTAAAATATTTGCAAGCAATTAGGTTTGGCACACTCGTAATTAGAAGAGGAGTGGCGAATCCTTTGATGGTGGATATGTTTTTATTTGTCCTGCTGCTGCCGTTTCCTCTTCCTGTTTGCCGTGGGATGCATTGTTTATGGCCGCTTCAGTTGGCAGTTGCAAAGTCAGAGGCAGAGGCAAAGGCAAAACGAGAACGGGAACGATAAACGCCGATGACGTACCAAAAGCGTTGTGGAAAACCTGTTTGTGAATGTTGGTTGCTGGGGCAACGACCACTTGGTCAACATGGGGCCAACTGGCTGCTTTCAGTCAGCCAACAAATTGCAGAGAATCAGCAGAGAACCAGCCCTTTGTGGTAGTTACTCAGCTTGAAGTAATAACTTGTTAGTTAATAGCTGCAATGGTCGACTAAATCGTCCCAGTTTCCGCCTGTCCATTAAGCCATTTCGCATATACCTTCCCATTTTATCGGCTTATCACAAATGGAAAGTACACTAAGTACACTATAAAATATTAGTGTATACATCGTTTTTAAATTTAAAATAGTGTTGTAGTATTTTTGATTTCAATGAAAGGAGACATAAACCAAACTGACGTATTTGTTTAGAATATTCATTGGTTTTTCTGTCAATGAACTTTTTCAAATGGCAATAACAAGTTATTTCGATCATAAAAGTTCGTATGCAAATCTGACATAGTAAAATGAAGTATTTTTAATAGGTGCTTAATCATTTAACCTTTTTCCACTGTGTAGAGAATTCCTTTCACTTCACATACATTTTTGGTGTGGCAATTCCCTTATTTGTTTAGCACTCTTAGCTGCATGTTTCACCTTCAGACCGGCTTTTTAATCCTTATCACACTCACATTCTCACTCAAAGGACACGCGGCTTTTCCAACCCCCAACCCAATCCTAAATCTCATTGTTTGCCCTGGGACTTGGCCAATATTTATTTAGGCACTCGGCTCACAAGGGATTTACGTCGGTCAGCCTTCCTTCACTCGCTTATCCAGTTCTTTTTTGGCATAATTGCTATTTTAATAGTTTTCTTTACAATTCCTTGATTTATGATTGCCAGCCGAGCAAGTACAGTCTGCAATTGAGTTTCCCTTGCGCGGAGAAGTGGAGTGGAGTGTAATCCAATAAATGGCATGCCAGGCAGCATAACTCCCGGCCAGCTATAATGTACTACTCGACGAAGAAAATCACTTTTGAAAAGTCAACAACACAGCCTCTGTGGCTTTGTCTGTCGGTGGTTCGGTGGATGGTTGTGGGTGGCTCGGCCGAACGGAGGGTGGATCCATGTCACTCTGTGCTGTGTGGTTTCATGGCGAAGGCCCACCAAAGTGGGTGCATTCACATGTCTCAAGAGCTTGTTATATGCTCGATATGTATGTGCAGCGGTTACGGCAACATCAGCCAGAAGCCGTCGCCCCATGTTGATGTTCCTTGATGAGTTTGGGTGACAAAACAGGAAGAGGCGACAAATTTGCAGAGGCATGCAATTTTTCCACAAGAGTACAGGGGAGTAGGAACTGCAGCTTCTGGTCTCGCATTTACCAGGTGTTCTTGGGCAATCAATGGCAGATGCTGTTAGCAGGGGAAAAGTAGCGTAAACGCTCTTCGTGGGTTTAATCAACTCAATCCACTTCACTTCTGGGCCAAGAAAGCGTTTCATTTTGTTAAGAATGCAAAAAGTAATACATCAGTTGCGAGATGAATACTAAAATACATGACTATGAATGGATTTTCTTGGAATGCTTGCTCAACTTGACATTTACGCATGAACAATGATGAAATTTGCTGACTTGGTAAAACCATTACCAATGTACATCACATTCAAATCAATTTAACTGAACCATCTATTGATACCCAAGCGTTACCCC